ATAAATTCTTGCACCAGGGCCCTTTTTTCTTTAGGTCCGCCACTGATGGTTGTGCACAGTTTTGACATCTTCATAACAGAGTTTCACATAGTAGGCCATCACCTTCTGAGCTCCACTGAACCTTACAGCCTCATTTGAGCCCTTTGCAACGGTTCCAACACTGGTCTTACCTTACGTAGAGTGAGATGGGCACCACGGTATTTAAGATAATGACGTACGACCAGAACATTAGGAACCCCGAGAAGGCAGCATTGTGCACGCCTTCTGCCCATGGGAGAAACACCTGGAAGTAATAGCCTTGCTTGGATTCCCAAATCCCATTGCCGATAGCCAGGATGATGCACATGACAGCCAAGAAGACAAAGATCTGCAGAGAAATGGAAAGTCGTGTTGAAGGATCTTTATTTCCTGAGCTAGAACAGCGTTTCCCAAACCAACCCTCCACCCCGCAGCCCATCTTCAGTAGACATCCACACAAGTAGCTACATGCTGAGACACTCATTTACTGGTTTCCAAGCTGCAACCATAGGCAGCCCTTTTGATACGTATTGTGGGGTTCTGCAGTCAGAAGTCTGCTATTTCCCTACCTAGGTGCTGTACACTTTTTATGGTTTTTCCAGGTACGGGAAACGTCCAGAATTGTTTTATGTGTAAAGAAGTTTTAAGGTGATGTTTTATATACATCGATCAGCCATAACATTATGACCATTCGCCTGATATTGAGTAGGTCCCCCTTTTCCTGACCCGTGGAGTCATGGACTCCACTAGACCTCTGAAGGTATGCTGTGGTATCTGGCACCAAGCCGTCAGTAGCAGATCCTTTTAGCCCTGTAAGTTGTGAGGTGATCGGCCTCCATGGATCGGACTTGTTTTTCCAGCACATCCCACAGATGATCGATTGGATTGAGATCTGGAGAATTTGGAGGCCAAGTCAACATTATGACCATTTGCCTGATATTGAGTAGGTCCCCCTTTTCCTGACCCGTTGAGGCATGGACTCCACTAGACCTCTGAAGGTACGCTGTGGTATCTGGCACCAAGCCATCAGTAACAGATCCTTTAAGTCCTGTGAGGTGATCGGCCTCCATGGATCAGACTTGTATTTCCAGCACATCCCACAGATAATCGATTGAGATCTGGAGAATTTGGAGGCCAAGTCAACACCTCAAACTC